GAAAAGCGCAGCACGCCAGGAGGTTGCGCAGTCCGTTCGCACCTGGTCCTCTCCGTGTGGCCATCTGTTGGGTTGACGGTAAGCGGTCTGTTTAGCGTTCTGCTTAACAGGTCAATGTCAACAAACACACTATAGTTCAGTTGCACATTTCAGAGAGAGAGAGAGAGAGAGAGAGAGAGAGAGAGAGAGAGAGATGGGGAGGGGGGGATTTGTGCGCTAAATATGGTGATAAACTCTCCCCAATGTACACCACCGGGGGGCTCTCGTGGCCTAAAGGTTGAGGAGTTGGCCTCTCACTCAAAGGTCCCGGGTTCGAATCCGGGTAGCGACCGAAAAATTTTCTTCGTTAAAATTGTCTCCTTTCACCTCCTTTCCTGCTCTCTAGCGATGTTCTATCGTCTGTTTTCGTCTCCTCTTTCTGCCCCCACCCATCACCTCCTTTGCCCCCTCCTCTGTCTTTCTGCAGCCTTTCTACTGCTACTCCTTGGCTCCTTCTTACTGCTGTCTTTCAGCCACACCCCTGATCTGGTGGGAAAGATTTACACCAAGCCTTCTCGAACAAGGGCAAAAGTTCTCGGCGGGCCCGTGTGCAAGTTGCGCACGTTAAAGATCCCTTGGTGGTCTAAAATCGATACGAGTAGGCTTCGGCCGCCACCCGGGCAAATTTCAACATTATCTACAAACTGAAAAAGTTTAATGTGCCCCGCGCGTTCATATTACCTTATGCAGTTGCGAGCGGCGAAAAACATTTACCACCCCCCCCCCCAAAAAAAAAGAACACTGCCGTAACGGAAACATACACTCTGTGCAGCCCATCTTCATTGAAATACTGCTTAATTGAAGAAGACGCACGCCGTGACCCCGAGACATAATAAGCCTACTTGAAAACTCCTACAACTACTCACACCAAGTACTGCGCTCTTCTCTTTCCCTCCGCTGTTTCAGTCTCTCTAACTTCTCCGCTCTAAATGACCCTAGGTGTGTCGATGTGTTTCTCTTTACTCAAACAAGACAGATATAACATGAAATGGATGACACACGCGGTTATTGCGTTGGTCAAAACGGGTTTTTTTCGGTCCTTGTAACGAAGAAGTTGACTTACAGGTCAAGGATAATGAAGGGTAGAACGCTTATGAGGTTGAGTAATTTGAAGCACATTGACTAGACATTGGTCATTTAGCTTTCGTTTAATTTTGATAAGAATTTTACAGCACAGCAACACAAATAAGTTTATATAGAATCTAAGTGCCAAGGATAAAAGGGTGTTTTTATATAGAGTAACATACAAATAAAAGAAGGAAGGGGTTTATTTTATTGTATTTTATTTTATTTTATTTTATTT